GTAGATGCTTTTCAATGAGTTTGCTAGATGCCTTTCTGAAGACTGACAGGTCAAGATTGATTGAATGGAGTCTGCCTGAATGTTCAGCGTCTGCTGGTAGACTCAATTCTTAGTAAATCAGGCCCAATAGGTCTCCCGGGAAGGAGGGTCAACCTCCAATTTATGAACTTTTGGAAGCCTATAAAAAACTGGTATCTGGATTTAACACCTTAAAGAAGGTCATGGTCTTTTTATCAATGATACCCTTCTCAAAAGCTTCCTCAATCACACCAAAGAGGATCTTTTGACCATTCTCCATGTTATTATTATTATTATACAGTATTTATATAGCGCCAAAGGGTATGCTCAGCACTGTACAGTAGCAAGGGGGACAGAACATGAGACAAGACAGTAACAATACACCACACGAGGGGTTCGAGGGCCCTGCTCTTTTGAGCTTACAATCTAGGAGGGAGGGGAAGGTGGTACAGGAGGAGATGGCTGTGGGGGATGGAGTGGTGGGAGGAGTGGAGGAAGTTAGTTGTTAGGTGAGGTTGGGTGTTAGGTGAGGTTGGGATAGGCTTCCCTGAAGAGGAGGGTTTTCAGGGTGCGCCTGAAGGTGAGGAGGGTAGGTGACAGTCTGATGAATTGGGGTAGGGAGTTCCAGAGGATGGGAGAAGTCCTGCAATCGGCGTGGGAGGAGGAGACCAGGGAGCTAGAGAGTAGCAGGTCCTGTGAGGAGCGGAGGGCATGGGTAGGGTAGTATTTGGGTATCAGGTCAGTTATGTAGTTTGGGGCAGCATTGTAAATGGCTTTGTAGGTCAGAGTTAGCAGTTTGAATTTGATGCGTTGGGCAATCGGGAGCCAATGAAAGGATTGGCAGAGGGGGGAGGCAGATGTGGAGCGGTTGGTGAGGTGGATGAGTCTCGCCGCTGAGTTTAGGATCGACTGGAGTGAGGATAGCGTTCGTTTGGGTAGGCCAGTGAGAAGGGAGTTGCAGTAGTCCAGGCGTGAGATGATGAGGGAGTGTACGAGTTGTTTGGTGGTGTCTGGGGTGAGGAATTGGAGCCTGCAAGATCTAGATAGCAGTTGGATGTGGGGTAGGAAGGAGAGGTGGGAGTCCAGGGTGACACCCATGTTGATGGACGTTATCTTAGTGTACCATTCCTTATATCTAAAAATCTTTTGACACATCAATACATATTTTTCTCGCTCCATGATGACAAGGCTCCACCCTTGTCGGCAGGCTTGATCACAATGTCATGGCCAGGGGCGGACTTACCATTTGGAAACTGGGGCACTGCCCGAGGGCCCGGGGTCAGTAGGGGACCCCATGAGATGCCCCTGGTACCTTTTTCATAGGCTTTTTTGAGTGTGGGCAAGGACACAGGGGCCCCATGATCCCCTATTGCCCGGGGGGCCCCATGAGTTGTCAGTCCACCCCTGGTCACGGCAGTTCTTAAGCTGTTCCAAAGCAACACATTCTTCTCCCATAATATTATCAAATGCCATCTTTCCAAAATTCACCATTTTTAATTCTCTGGTAACTGCAGCCACAGAACACTGAACTCCAGCTACTGCCAACAAGGGGGAAAAGAAAAAGATTTAACATAAAACCCCCCTCATCATCTACTCTGGACAGGACCATGTGTTCCTCACCATTCTCGTATCTCTGAATTTCCTCCACCAGTTCTAAAGCCATGTCAGCTAAATCATCTTCAATATCCTCTACATGACTTTCCTGTCATCGGGCAACAACATCTCCTAAAGCTCTGTACTCCTTTCTGGAGAGATGGGGCCAATCTTTTATCAGTCCATTAAAGGATCATCTTGTCTATTGTTTCTAGAATGTAATGCTTTCAAGACAAACTTACTGGTAAATAAATATAAATCTTTAACTGCTTCACTCGAACCTTTCATAACAGAGCAAAACCTCAAACTCTTAGAAAGAAAACAAATCACCTTGGAAAGGTTAACAATTTTATAGTCACTTTCCTCTATTGTTTATCCATCCTGCTCTTATTCTAGTATATTGTTTTTCTACCCCATTTGTGGAGAACCTCCCTCCCCAACCCGTTCCCTTCCTATACCCCCTCCTTGACTAAGATCTCTTTGTTTTCCTGCTTCTTCTATTCCCCCTCTCCCCTCCTCCATGCTCCTATTTTTTGCTAGTTATTCACCAACACCAACTTGGTCCTTACGTGTAAAAAATGAATGGTGTGACTGGAACAAAGTTCCTTTAATCTAAAGTTCCATGACAGTGATTGGACTTTATATATCTTTATATGGTCATCTGTTTTATGGGCTCCTAGTAATATTGGTGACATCCAAGCTATGCAGAATGGTTTTGGTGGTCCCTGTAGAAATCCATATATATGGGCATTTGTGCATTATTAATTACAGACTAAACCCACCTGGAGACCTGGGGACACTACAAGTTATATATTCCATGTTACAGGTACCTCCAAGTTATATATGTAGTTTCGGGGGGTCCTTGTGGAAGTCCATGTGTGGACATTTCTACCTATGATAAATGACATGACAGTAATCCCACCTGGAGACCGGAGGACACTGTACAAGTTCTATATGTAGTCTCGGGGGTCCCTGTGGAAGTCCATGTGTGGACATTCTACCTATGATAAATGACAGGCTAAACCCACCTGGAGACCTGGGGACACTGTACAGGTTCTATATGTAGTCTTGGGGGTCCCTGTGGAAGTCCATGTGTGGACATGTCTACCTATGATAAATGACAGGCTAAACCCACCTGGAGACTTTCTCCACACCTGGAGTGTGCTGAGTTCTTGGAGAACGTCTACACAGTGTTTCCAGATTGGCTTTATCACCCCAACGAGCTCGCTCCAGTTCATGGATGTCATCATTATGTTTGGAGGATCTCACCAGTCAGGAGCCTTTCCTGTCATCCTACATGTTCCCTTCTGAGGATTGTTCTATCCTTCCAAACAAATGTATGAAATCATGGATGAGTCCTCCTTCTATGTGATCTAGAAGATCTTCAATCACAATGTCTTTATGGATGAAGTGGATGGCCCAGTTTATATATTATTTATTGCTTTACAGCTTTATTCCCTCCAGGATTCATTCTTTATTTATAGAACCATTCAAGGAAGTGTTCTTACTTTGAGAGATCTCCACCACCATTCCTCTGTGACCATTACATCCTTGTCATTTATGTCTAACATCTTCATTATCAGTGGATTGATTTATATTTTTATACTTTAGGGCTTATTTCTACATTTTCTTTACCCAAAAGATCTGTTTTATTATGTGTACCTTTATTGTTATCTTGTGTTCTGTGTCTTTAAGACTTCTCTATGTGTAATAAAATATCTTTGTTAAACCGCTTGTTGCATAAGGGCCATATTTATTTTTTCTTACTTTTTTAGTTATTTTTGAACTTCTGTAGTATCCCTGTAAGGTGGATACAATGCAGGAATGGTTATTATGAGACGTTTCTTGGGGGCTGCAGTTCCTCTGAACTCCACAAGATGGTGATCTCACTTATACCAAGACAGGAAGTTTCTATGGAACACAGACAGGAAGTGATGTTAGGTACAGACAGGAAGTGATGTCAGGTACAAACAGGAAGTGATATCAGGTACAAACAGGAAGTCATCTGGAATAAAGACAGGAAGTTCCATGTGGTATGAAGCAGAGAGGAGACATTGTTGGAAGTGGCAGCAGAGGAGGTAATAAGATGTTATTTTCTATTTACACCCAGCCTGTAATCCCCTGGTCACTTTCCTGAGCTGTGTTCCCCGTCCTGTATTCCTGGATTTCTCTCGGATAATCTTCCTTCTCTGTGCTGCAGACACAATTTATGTATCTAGACTGGATTTATGGAGGTTCTGGGGCTCAGCTGGCAGCATTTATGTGACCTATGCTCCTGGGACATGTGATTTGGATCTTCTCTCCCCAATGTCCGGGTCTAGTAAGATCTCTGACAGAACATTTCTCCCAGGGTTCCTTGCTCTGTGGTCTGCTGGCTGTGCCGGGTGGAGGGATATGTCTGTAGTGTCTCAGACCCAAGTCACTCTGAGTGCAGTCTCAGGAGATGGGAGGCAGCGGTGTGGGATCTCTGCAACTTGTCTACAGTAAACATTAAAGTGGTTGTAAAACCCTCCATATACCCAGAGAAGTGACTGGCCTCAGGTGGACTTTCCAGAGATACAAAAAAATCCTCCTACATCACGTTGAACCGGTTTATCTGTAGCAATATTTTCTCTATATTTGTTCAAAGTCCAGAATTTTATACAGCTTGTCTGAGAAGTCAGAAAAAAGGGGTCAGAGAGCTGAAGTCACTCTCTTCAGAGCTCATTGAGGTGAGCTTTGAGAGATGCCAGGTGGGAAGGGACACAGCCCCCTTCACACCCCCTGTTCTTGGTGTCAGGAATAACTGCCATAAGTGATTCATGCTGATTGCAGAGGAAGGAGGCAGTAGAAAGAAATTGCACTTAATGCTCTGGACTGATACAAGTACACACTGTAGAGGGATATGCTTTGTTCATATTCCATGTCTGAGGTTTACAACCACTGTAAGTGATCTCTATTTACTAAATACCAATATATACTATTTTTATTAGTGTGGCCCCCTTGTCCTGAATAGAGGTACTATGTGGGTTTAGTTTGTGGCTGGGCTGTACTTGGCTCAGCTCAGGCTGATTGTATAGTTCTTCACTTGGTTTCTCCCTAAGTTTAGGTTGTCTTGTGATGTCTCACTGTGGCCAGTAGATGTCACTGCTATCACTGGACATAGGATGAGATTTCACCAACCAAACTAAAGGGATATTAGACCACAAATGTCCCATATTGCAGCTTACCAATCATTGGGTGTGGCGGCATTCCATTCTTTTTTTCTGTTTTCACCTGGTGATCTGGCCAGTAAACATGCCTTCTGTATTAGAGCGCCCCCACTGTGGAGACAGCAGCATGGTCAGTCTGGGGGGAGGGGAGTGTTAGATGTATTAGCAGATTTAAAAAACAGGAACTAATTGAAGCCAAACTCCATCTCACACTTCATAATCAGTTACATCAAACAGGTTTTTTCCTTTTGGGATAAAAGTTTTACATGAATAAATAAAAGCTGATCATTGTAAGCCCCCTGTCAGTGGTAAATGGTCTGCCTCATCCCTGGAACTGATACATTCTGCTGCAGAGTTTTTTTAGAACAGATTTACTGGCTAGATCACCAGATGAATATAGAAGAAATCCTATATAAAAAACTAATACTGTCTAGTCCTAACTTTTGTATCCTCTATGATAAGTTGTACATTATACATCGGCCTTAATTATTTTACACCCATTTCCTACCAGCTGGACATTTTATATCGGATGATGTGATTGGAGCACAGACTTTTACATGGTGATAATAATGTATAAAAACAAACAAGAGCGCACTCTAATCGTGCATTACTGTGGTATAACACGTAATTTATTAAATAAAAAGGATGTTTACTCACAAACCAACGTGATAATGGGCAGTATAGGTGATCCACAAAAACAGTCACAATACAACTGTGCCTAATGATGCGGATAAGCTGACGCGTTTCGGGAGCTGAACCCCCTTCCTCAGAGCTCAGGATGTGTCTGCTGGCCACAAGCCTATATACCAATGGGATGTCAGAAGGAGGGTGAAAAACTTAGACACAGTTGTATTGTGACTGTTTTTAATAATGTGATAACATCCTCCAACTTTGGACCCTTAAACAGAAAGTGATAATGAGGGAGGAGTCAATACCCCAATGATGGTGGTCTTCAGGATCAGTCCAGTCTTCATCTTGGTTGTTCTCCCCCCATCCTCACTCTCTGACCTCTGGTGGGCTCAGCCCCGCTGTTCTTCATGACTAAATCATGGACTAAATAAGGAAGTGCAGTACTTCTTGTGTTGGGAAGATGGCGATGAGTGATAGAGGGGGTGGGGACCCTCGTCCTATAATAATCCCCTCATCACTGTCCCTCCTATAAAAGACAGTTCTGGTTGTTTCCTCACTCTCTGACTAAGGTCCATGAATAAAGAAATGACCTGGTAGGAGATCAGAGGAGCCATTTCCTAGTTCCCTTGAGGGTGGAATTGTAAGCTCCTCAGAGACCAAGCTGCCTGATGTGGGCGGAGTCCTGGTTTGGGGGAACCAATCAGCTCCTGTCTAGTAATCCTCTTTGTCTTTGTATTTTAGTCCATGGCCGGGAGATGAGGAAAACCTCCGAGGATTGTCTCACTTTGTCTCCAGACTGGAAAGTAGAAGATGAGGACATCACACAGTATAGTCCAGGAGAAAACCCGGCTCCCTCCAATGTCCATCCGGCACCACCCAGTGTAGATGGACCATCGGATTCCTCGTATCCTGAGGAACCTCAGACTGTGCGGGACCGGGCCGGCCTTCCAACAGGGAAGAGCTTCTCCTGTACTGAGTGCGGGAAATGTTTCCATTATAAATCCCTTAATAGGCATAAAAGATGTCACACGGGGGAGAAGCCGTATTCCTGTCCTGAGTGTGGGAAATGTTTTTTCAGATAAGTCCAGTCTTTACAGACATCAGAGATCTCACACAGGGGAGAAGCCGTATTCCTGTTCTGAGTGCGGGAAATGTTTTTCACAGAAGTCCGATCTTTACACACACATCAGAGATCTCACACGGGGGAGAAGCCATATTCCTGTCCTGAGTGCAGGAAATGTTTTTCAGACAAGTCCAATCTTTACACACATCAGAGATCTCACACGGGAGAGAAGCCATATTCCTGTCCTGAGTGGGAAATGTTTTTCACAGAAGTCCCATCTTTACAGACATCAGAGATTTCACACGGGGGAGAAGCCTTATTCCTGTCCTGAGTGCGGGAAATGTTTTGCACAAAAATCAGATCTTGTCAAACATGAAAGGTCTCACACAGGTGAGAAGCCGTATTCTTGTCCTGAGTGTGGGAAATGTTTTTCAATAAGTCCAGTGTTTTACACACATCAAAGATCTCACACGGGGGAGAAGCCATATTCCTGTCCTGAGTGTGGGAAATGTTTTTCAGTGAAGTCCCATCTTTCAGACATCAGAGATCTCACATGGGGAGAAGCCACTTCCCTGTCCTGAGTGAGGGAAATGTTCCTCACTGAAGTCCTGTCTTCCTGTACATCAGGGGTCCCACACAACCCTGGAGGTGTATTAGTGCCTTGAGTGCGGGAAATGTCTTCTAGATGAATGTTGCTGGACATCCCAGCTCTCATGTGGGGAAGAAGCACACCCTGATATACACCTCAGATATACTCCATGGCTGATCTTCATCATGGAAGAAACAGTTCATAAGGAGATCAGAGGTCCCCAAAGACATGGATGAAGTGTGGGACCGGGTTGGCCATTGATATCAGGAGAAGAGTAAAAAAATGGAGTCCTGCCCTGTGATTGGCTGAGTACATTTTGTGGTGGGAGATTTCACAAACACTTGGAGGTCTGTTTAAAATAAATATTTCTACCTCCTGTATACCGGACACTTCCCCCCCTTCCTGCCCAGGCTGACTGGTAACTATCAGCGCTCTCACACTTTGAATGACAATTACACAGTCATGCAACATTGTACCCAAATTATATTTTTGTAATTTTTTCACACAAATAGATATTTATTTTGGTGGTATTAAACACCACTTTTTACCATTTTTCTTGTTTCTTGTTTTTACAAATAAATCGTCTTTTCCTTTAAATGTAGACAAAGGTGTATTCTGCGCCATTTCTTGGGTACAATAACCCCAATCAGTGTCTATGATTCAGTGTGTAGGAGAGTTATAGAGTCTACAAACTATGGGATAGATGTCTGAAAATCCATCATGTCTGATGACGGCAGATCTCATTTCTGAGGATCAAAAACACCAGAACGGTACAAATTGTCAGAACTTTATCTGTGAGGAAATAATCCGTATACAATTCATGGAAACAGGCGGGATCTGGAATGAAGGAGATTCCCTACTAATTCTCACAAAGTAACCGACATCCCAGTTCTGTATTTGTGATAATTGGAAGACAAAAAAAAAAAACAATAATGTGCAAAAATATATATTTATTAATAATATAAATCAGTACAAAATGGGGATGAAATATAATAGGTGATGATAAATAATAAACAATACAAGATAACAGTACAATGATCTAATCCACAATAATGGGGAGAAATACAAGCCAGCAATTACTTCCAAATATTAATGAATTACATCCAACTGTCTGGAAATGTCGTGTAAGAAATCAGTAACTCAGCAACATGTGACAACAGATATACAAATCCCCCCCGTGATCTCTCTACACCCAGATATTCAACGCTCAACGTGTACCTTGCCATGACTTGATCTGGAATCCCATACACAGGCCAATCCAATCCGCTTACAATCTGAGATGAAGATGTAATGTTACATGAAGTAGTCTACCTTGTCATATATACTGTATACATCCGGATAAACCATTGACTAGAAGCCAGAATCAGCTTCAGGGATATGTAAAATCAATCTTCCCCAGAGGAGGGAAATGATAATAATTTATACTGCAGGTAAAATGACGTC